GAATAGCAGAGGCAGCCAGCTTTGTGGCTGGCCCATTCCCACTGTCAGAGGAGTGAGGCTCCAAGCAGAGCTCTCCACTCCAGCCAGCTCTTTGTGCATCTACCCTGACTGGATCTCATCGCCCAGAAAGCTCAAAGCTGGATCTGACCACAACCATCCAATACTCGCTGCTTTCCTCAAAGGACTCCGGGATGAAGATGGACCCCCTGACCGCGCCTACCCCGTCAACCTCTCCATCCTCCAAGCTATGCTCGATGCCCTGGGCTACGACGACGCCACCTGGGGAACCCTCAACCGCCACGTCCGCGACCTCTGCATCCTGGCCTTCTTCTGGCTCCTACGCCCTGCGGAGTACCTGGACGTCCGCGACCTCTGCATCCTGGCCTTCTTCTGGCTCCTACGCCCTGCGGAGTACCTGGATACCGGGAACCTTGAATCCCGAAGCCAAGCCTTTCACCTCTGTGATGTCTCCTTCACTGTCCATGGCGGCCTCCAAGTCCGCGGAGACACCATCTCTTTGAATGACGTGAAAAACCACGCGTGCCTCACCGATGCCACGTTTACGTTCACTGACCAAAAGAATGCTGTCCGCGGCAAGTCCGTGGGCCACCGCCCGACCTCTGATCCGTGGCTTTGCCCGGTGAAGTCCCTCGCGCGTGTGGTCTACCACCTCCGTACCAACGGCGCCGACGCCGATACTCCCCTCTTCAACCACTTCAATGCGGCCCGCAACCGGTGGTATCCTGTGAAGCCCAGTTCATCACCAATGCCCTCCGCCACGCTGCGGCACTCATCTCCCACGACACCGGCATCAACCCTGACAAGGTCTCTGCCCGCTCCCTCCGTCCTGGTGGTGCCACAGCCCTTCTCTGCGCCCATGTGGACTCGGATGCCATCCGCCTTCTCGGCCGCTGGAAGTCCGACGCCATGCTCCGCTACCTGCGCATCCAAGCCGCTGCCGCCACCCACCACTACTCCCAACAGATGTTGGACCATGGGGCGTACAACTTCCCGGGAGGCACCTACGATCGCCACCTCCTCCCGGCACAAGCGCCCCAACACTTCAACGAGATTCTTCTCCACGAAGAACTCTACGAGGACTAACCTACCCCTAGTCCTCGGCCCCCTGTCCTCGCCTCCACCTGGACAGGGGGTACCTTCTCCCACCCCGCTACGCTCCCTCCCTGTTCTGCCTTTGGCTTTTGGGTTGCACGACTCAAGGCTGTCCCGTGGAACATCACATTCCCGGGACTCCCTTTTGCCGTGTGGGATCCATCCGGGACTCCCCAGTCCCGAATGGTACCCCGGGGACTGGAGACGGTCGGCTCAGTAAATGGCCGAGTCTCTCCACTCACCTAATCCTCTACTAGTCGTGTCTAGCTGCTCTGGGCGAGTGCAGCTTGTCTGCGCTCGTCCCCAGGAGGAGTTGCAGGACCCAAGAAAACCCTCAAACACTTCCCTGGTGCCAAAATTGTGGACGCTCCTGCTCGACAAGCGGTGCGATCTCTTGCCAACTTCATGTCTCCAAATTTGAAAGTCGTTTCTGGCAAACACAACACCCCAGTCACTTTGTGTTTGAATTAGACCTCTACGTCTCCTGAGACGACGCTCCTTTTGGTTACCCCCTCAGTGGCGCTCTGGAATCGATTTGCTGGCGTTTACTGTGTAAAATAGAGTAGCGGCACTTCAGTTGCAGAATCAACGGTCATGTGTATCGTTAAGTAACAAGTTCCCTTTCGAAAGATTTAGATTGATTCGATTCGTGGATAAAAGAACCATTGAAGTTACTAAGGTTAAGGTTACGGAGGACGCACTCAAGTCCTTTCTTGAAGGCGCAGCACTGACTTCTCTCCCTCATGGAATTTCTATGGCAAACAGGAGAGAAATCCAAGCTTGACCAACAAGAATGGTGTTGGAAGGTACGAGGTAAGCCTATTATCAAGATTGATATTGAAGGTGTAGATTTGAAAGCCATCCCTCATTGAATTCTATGGACTATGGGATGGCAGTCAGTTCTCGGCCGTCAGCAGGTGGGTTGGCTTTTTTCGTGGATCGATCGTACCGGTACCTCTGCTATCAAGCCCCTGAGTGTGTTCGGTACTGTTGACACTATCGCCGATGTAGCTAACTGTATGGTAGCCGGCTACAATGGCTGGATTAGCTAACAATATTCGGTTTTGTGCATGTATTCGTCATAAGGATCCAATGCGAGGTAACCGAGTGCAGCGAGCAAAGTCGAACCTGAGTGTGTTCGGTACTGTTGCCACTGTCACTGATCGATGAACTCTATGGTAGCTGGCTACGATGGCTGGATTGACAATGTTCGGTTGTGCATGTATTCGTCGTAAGGATCCAATGCAAGGTACCGGTAATGGAGTGTAGCAAGTAAAGCGGAACCTAAGTGTGTTCGGTACTGTTGCCACTGTCGCCGATGTAACAGTATGGTAGCCGGCTACAATGGCTGGATTGACAATATTCGGTTGTGCATGTATTCGTCATAAGGATCCAATGTAAGGTACTGGTATCGAAGTGTAGTGAGCAAACTGAGGAAACAGGAGATGAACGCTGAAAAAAGCCGAATACAAAGGCAGCAAAGAAAAATAATTAGGGAACGGAAAACCTTTATTTCGATGGCTTCTGTTGGTTGGTATACACGTCTACACCCTCACTGAGTCGCGTTCGTGTATCAAATCCGAATCCCCTCCAACAGCGACGGTTAAAAGAGCCAGCCGAGCTTGTATATTTTGCGCCTCACATTTCTTTTGCTTGCCCCTCCGGTGCTTGCAAAACGGATTTATCGTTACTAGTACTGTAATAGTTTCGATATCCTCCTCCATATGGCAGCCATAGGCCCTTCCTCCACCGTAAGGCCTGTATCTATTGTGTACCTCCAACGACGTGGGTGGTTGACCCAAGGCGGCTCATGATATGGCCCCTGCCACTCTTCCATTCTTCTTTCTTCTTCTTCTTCTAGTCTTGTCTCCTGTACCTGGTACCAGACGAGATACGAGTAGTCGCCATAGCAACCACTCCTCACATAAAACCAAAGCATACCGGTAGTCGCTTGCTGTGTTGTTGCAAGATGAGCCAAGAGAAACGCAGCCTCTCTGAATACTCCCTTGAGGAGCTAGAAGTAGAGGTGAAACGAAGACGCTTGGAATCAGGGGCAACAGCTACCAATTCCACAAACAGCAATACGCTGAGCATCCAAACTGCACGTGAGATTCTGTCAAGTTATCTTCTGCCAAGCGACGAACGAGTAAGCAGAGGTGATTCCTTTCAATCAGATCATGCCATCAATCTGCTACGACAACATCCATCCTTGGTGGCAGAATCCTTTGGTGGACAAACAGTGCTCTCGGCTTTCTTGCGTGCCGGTGCGTACTTCTACTCCTTCAATCACCAAGGAGCTGTGTGCCATGTGGAAATTAGTCAATCCTCAATACAATGAATACATTGATTGGCATAGCTCTGGTTTTGAATGGGAACCAAACTTGTTCCAATCCAGAAATCTAGAGGTTATTGCAAAAGAGTTCCCACAGCAAAAAAATCAAGAGGACGCCGTTTTTGGTGATACCCCGCTGGAATTGTTTCTCAAGCGATGTGATCAATATGATCATGATATTGAACAAAACTACAATTGTGAGCCACCCCCCAGGGGATCAAGTGGCCACAATTTCTTCAGATACTGTATGACGCAGAGTGTGTTCCACAGGTCCGCATTAAATGGATTGTTCGTGGAGATTATGGTGAGGAGTTGTCTGATTTTCTTGCCAAGACCCTCTCCACTGTCTATGACGAGGAAATCCTTGATATGGACAACGAAGAAGACGTCAGTCGATGGAATCAAAGGACAACACAACGCACCAAACTCTTTCTTCCCAACCTGCCATGCTTTGAACTCTCTGGTGTCAAAGAGAATTCGGAGATGTTTTCCGCTATGCTGAACATGTTCTGTGAGGTGAAGCCGGTGCTGTTAACACACGTGATGCTACGAGTGCTCTTTAGTTTTATAAATTTAAATGGGAATGATCTATTCATCAGGGCCATACAGTCATGCCCAAACCTCAAGAATATTAACCTGGTACCATTTCAGAAAGATGTCGAGCGCAGACAAGCTGCGCTCGCCCAGAGCAGCTAGACACGACTAGTGGAGGATTAGGTGAGTGGAGAGACTCGGCCATTTACAGAGCCGACCGTCTCCAGTCCCCGGGGTGCCATTCGGGACTGGGGAGCCCCGGATGGATCCCACACGGCAAAAGGGAGTCCCGGGAATGTGATGTTCCACGGGACAGCCTTGAGTCGTGCAACCAGGGAGGGAGAGGTGGGTTAATCTAATCTAGGTTCTTGCCTTCAGCGTCGGCTGTGCACTACGCTAAAAGCTAGTGTAAAGATCTTTCGAGTGTTTTGAGTTTGAGAGAATGAAAGTTATGAGATGAATGATGAAACATCGCTCTAGAATTTACCAGCGTGGAGTAACTTCCACGCTACTAGATCCAGCTAGCCAAACCTTCCACGCTTTCCTTTTTAGGATCGTGGAGAGACGTAGGATTACTACCGCAAACCTACTCTATCACACTTTATAGTCTCCCGCGGAAGCCAGTTCTACGATCCTTGATGATGATCTCTCCTCGTTGATTAGTTTTTCATAGCTTTCTAATCGC